TTTTTTTTTTTGGTTTTTTGAGACAGGGTCTCACTATGTAGCTGAGACTGACCTGGAACTCACTATGTAGCCCAGGCTGGTCTCGAACTCATGGCAATCTTCCTGCCTCAGCCTCCCGAGTGCTAGGATTACAGGCATAAGCCACCACACCCGGCATACTAACTTTATTTTTATGGTGCTGGGGAATGAATCCAGGGCCTTTTTGCTGAGCTATATTCCCAAACTTTTAAAAAATTTTGAGACAGGTCTCACCAAGTCAACCAGGCTGGGCTCAAACTTAGCGATCCTCCTGTCTTACCCCCACCTACCTCCAGTGCTGGGATTACACACATGCACTACTGCACTGGCTACTACCTAATCTTAATAAAATAAACGCTTAAAAAAAAAAAAATTAGCCAGGCATGGTGGATCACAAGTTTGAGCCCAGCTTGGGTAACTTACCAAGACCTTGTCTCAAAATAAGAAGAAACAGTGGCTAGAGATGTAGCTCAGGAAGAAGGCTCTGGATTCAGCCTCAGTACCAACCAACAGACAGACAGACAAACAAACATACAAAACCCAAGGGAGGCAGCTCACTTGAGGGGAAAGCTTTTATTTTTAAATGCTTAGACAGGGTCTCACGAGATTGTCCAGGTTGTCCTTAGACTCTGGATCCTCCTTGCCTCAGCATTCTGAGCAGGTAGGGTTACAGGTGTGTTCTACCGTGCCTGTCTCTGGATTATTTATTTATAGAAATTGGGGTCTCTTAGTGTGGCTAACCTTCAAACTCTGCTGATTCTACTGTCTCAGCCTTCAAAGTAGCTGGGATTACAGGCATGCACCACATCCAGCTGAATTCTTGTAGTGCCCGCCCCACCTCTCATGCTACAGCTGGAACCCAGGATCTGGTGCATGCTACACAAACACTGCCTGAGCTCCACCACCAGGCAAGTGTTCCCTCTTAGCTGAAACCTGATGGATTCTGAGACTCAGGATTCATTCTTAAAACCGACGCCTAAGGCCAGGCCTGCTCTGCATGTGCCACCCCTGTGCTGGGCGTTTTCCACGCGCAATGCTGACCTTGCTGCTCAGAGTGGCTCTCTGCCCCATTGTACAGATAAGGAGATGAGTTGGGCCCAGCGGCACCTGCCTGGCCCCACTGCCCTCCACTGCCCCACCAGCAGCCCAGCATTCACAGTGCAAGCAGTGGCCACCCATGGCTGCCCGGGGATGGAGCTGTACTCAACTCTCCTAGGTTCCAGGGACAGGCACCACCCCGGGGCCTTTGACACTTGGACTCTGACCTTGCCTGTCATCTGCCTGCTAGGAACCCCAAACCGAAGAGCTTTGCACCCCTCCTCTGGGGCCCCACAGTGCTCGGAGGAGAGGGGTTAGAGGGTGGTGGGTGGAGGAGAGACTGAAGCCAGGGCCAGGAAGGCCTGTCAGGGGCCACTGGGATTGCAGGGGTGAGTGGCCAGGAGCCCTGGGCTGGCCCAGAGACATTTCTGAGCAGGGGCTGCCGCACGCACGTATTCAATGCTTTCTCTAGGAGAATCTTAGGGACATGTGACACTTTCATCAGAAACCTCCTGACAACCAAGCCAAGTTCTGCCTTGGACTGTGGGGACAAAAAGCTCTTGAGACTCTACGTTCAGCCAAACTAGAAGGAAGACAGAAACCTGGCTTGGGAGGAAACCATAGGAAGGCGATCCCTGTACTTCCCTGACTTAGTGGGTCTGGTCGTCACCTCTTGCCCAGCTAAGTCCTTCTTTGGGTTCCCCACCCAAAGGGGGCGTAACGCTATCTCCCCGCTCTGCTGCTATAGTTCGGGTGGGGGGGGCACCGTGCCCAGAGGAGCAGGCAGACAGAGGGGTCCACAGGCAGGAGCCCACACTCACCTCCTTGTCCTGCCTCTCTGAGGGTGGGATGGGGCATTCTGGGCCCTTCGGCCCCCAGCCAGGGAGGCTCAGGGTGCTGACTGTGGCTTAGATCCCCAGAAGGTATGGCACAGGTAACCCAGGAAACGGAGAGCAAGGTGGGCCCAGAGGAAGAGCTGCAGCCACAGCTGGAAAAGAATCTCTGAGTCCCCACCCTGGTTGCTGGCGGACCCTGGATCCATCCTCCAGGCCGTGCTGGGCTTTCCCTGGAATCTCTCCTTTGCTGGGGAACCAGGAAAAAGCAGAGAGCCTCCTCTTAGCCAGGTTCCTTGGGAAGGCCTCTGGGAACCCAGGAGGAGGAGCTGGTTGCCAGGGAAGTATTTAAAGGTACCTGCTGCTGGCCTCCAAGGTCTGCAGAAGCTCCCCTTGGCAGGAAGAGGTGGGAAGAGTCTCCCAAGGGTGTAGGCCACCTTCCCCAGGTTGGGGCGCTAAAGCTAACTAACTTCCCCTTCTGGCAACTTCCATTGCTCTGGGGATGCCAGAACTTGCCTTCCTCCATGGGTGCTGGACTGTCCAGAGGACAGCCGTCAACATGCCCAGGGGAGTGCCCATTGGGCAGAGGAGAAGGAGTTAAGGCCTAGCTCTTGAGATTCCCTGGGGGCTAAGGAAGCACCAGAGCTCGTTAATTAGCTGGAAGAACAGCTGGAGAGAAAGGCTGGGTGGGGGGGATAACAAGAGGCACCCTATCTCCTCCCCTGAGTTCCCTTTTAACCTGGAGTCCTCAAGCCTTGCTACCTAGAGAGAGAAATGGGCACATCTGCTCTTTGTCTTGCTCCTGTGTGGGGGTGAAGAGGGGACCGGCGTCCCGGGATGTCCTTGGCCTCTGTCAAACCTTGCCCTGTGCTTGGCTCTGCTCTCAACTATGAAAGTCCAAACCGGAAATGAACAGCTAAAGCCGGGGGTGGGGGGGAGGGGACCAGCCTTGACTATCTTTCTCCTGCTTTCCAGATCCCCAAAGAATCAGAAAGTCAATGGCAGCCTCTTCCTGAATGTGCCTGGCACCCATGGTCCCTGCTGGCAACAGGAAGTGACCTAGGAGGGTAACCTTGTGAGGAGTTGGCCTGTGGAACCTGCTGCCTAACTCACATCTGCGTGTGTGTGTGTGTGTGTGTGTGTGTGTGTGTGTGTGTGTGTAGGTGCCAACAGCGTCTACTCTGGTCCAGATTCAATACGGGCTCAGAGAAAACCTGAGACAATCCTTGAAAGTCCAGGACTAGTCTGGGTGTAGTGGCACAGGCCTATAACCCCAGCACTCTGAGAAGCTGAGCAGGATCCCAAGTTTGAGCCCAGCCTGTGTAACTTAGTGAGATTCTGTACCAAAATTTAAAAAAATTGAATAAAAAGGGCTGGAATGCAGCTCAAAGAGAAGGCTGTGAGTTCAATCCCTAGTACCAAAAACCAAACAAAAAACCAGGACCAGCAGGACGCAGAAATTTAGAGACCATGGAAGATCCTTAAGAGCAGAATGTCAGGTTGAGCATGGGGCATGGTGGAGACTCCCTGGGAAGGAACCCAGCAGAACCTCCCCCATATAATCTCTGACCTTCTGACCTCCAAAACGTGGGGATTGTGGGGAAGAAATGCCCAGCCTGGACTGGAAGCCCTAATCCGGGAGGAATAATTCTTCCAGTCCAGCCCAGATCCCTTGATCAGGGTTGCACCCCACCCCCAAGCCCGTCTGAGGGGGACCCTGATACTGACTGGACCAACCCTCATTCTGAGATGCCCCCCATTCCAGACAGGATGATACCCCAGTCTACGTTGGGCACAAATAGTGAGCTGACCAATTCTCCAGTCTGAACTGGACCACCCTGCTTCCCTTGCCTGAACTAGAACCCCACTCTGGGTGTACCGACCCCCTCGCTGTCTAAACAGGACCTTTTATCTGCTCTTACCCAGGTCCTACAACCCAGGGATGTTATTATGGGCCAGTCAGGGGTCCATGGACTACTCCTGGACCCCAAGCTCTGCTGCAACCCTTTCCTGATTTGAGAGGTAGAGCGTGCTTGGGAAGTTGCTATAGCAACAGGGCTCAGCCTCACCATCGGAGTAGCTGGAAGCCATCACTGGATCTTCTTAGGAAACCTGAACTACGGTGGCTGGGAAGGCTCAAGAGACCTCAGCACCAAATTGGAGGGCCATCCCCAGACCCCTTCCTGTAGGGGGAGCCAGGGAGTTATGGGGTGAGTACAGGAAAAGATACACGACCTAACAGTGGGTGCAGGGAAAGGGCAGGTAGAGACCTTCCAGGTTCTGCTGGTCCAACTGTGGGAAGGGCAAAGCTACCCTGGTAGGCCCTTTCTGAGCACCCATATAACCGCCAATGCACGTAAGTGGCTTGATCCTCTTGGGCATCCGTACGAATTAGCCGGTAAAACTTCCCACTCGAAGACTTCCTGGGGGGAGGCTCTCTTTAGTGCCCAAATCCACTCATCTTTGGGTCCTGGGCCGGGGGTCTTTGTCGGAGGGCTCCCTCTTACAAGCACTGCCTCTTCCTCTGTAGGCCAACTCCCAGAGTGTCTTTAGCCAGTGCTAGCCAAGACCTGAGCCCCATTTGGCTGTCTTATCTCGGGAGTCTCCTGGGGCTGCTGCCCTCTCAATTTCCGCAGCGCGGCCAGAGTTCGGGGTTGCTCTTTTTTTTCTCTGCTCTCTCCGCGTATCACTCTGGCCCCTGACGATAGTATCGACATCTTTGGGTGCAGAATCCCCCATCCTACTCCATCTCACGCTGATTCTAGACCCACTCTCTTTTGGAAGGAGGTAGACCCTGCCCTGCCCTTACATAAGAGTTAGCAGTTTGGGGGAGACAGAGGATGTTTACCTGTTGCTACTCATGGCTTGGCATTTTGCGGACCCTAAACTAGTGAATGGCAGATGAAATGAAGGTGCCCCCTGCAGACTAGAGTGGGTACAGGAGGGCAGATTTTGTATGATTCCATCCTAGAATCATAGATTCCAAGCCAAGAGGGTTACCCTTCCTCATCTTGCTTCCTTGTTTGGTGTGTGTGTGGGGGATCCCTTGCAGTGTTTTCTAAAGTGTGACATGACCTGCCGGCAGAATGTAGAATTATTTAGGGAAGTTCTGTTTATCTAGTTACAGTGTATTTTAGTTTTGTTTTGTTTTTGATACAGGGTCTGGCTATGTAGTCCAGGCTGGCCTTGAACTTGCAGCGATCTTCCTGCCTCAGTCTCCCGAGAGCTGGGATTACAGGCCTGGCCACCACACACCATACTGAGCTATCTAGTTGCACTGTATTTATTTATTTATTTATTTATGGTGATACCAGGGTTCAAACTTGGGACCTTCTGCTTGCAAGTAAGGTGGCAGAACCACTGAGCCAAATCCCCAGCCCCATAGTTACATTGTATTTTAATGTGTGTATCAGAGAATGCAACAGGCATGTTTTAAAAAAAAATTTTTTTTACAGTACTAGGGATTGAACCCAAGGTCTTCACACTGAGCTACACTGACAGCCCTTTTATATTATTGTTCAGTTTATCTCTGGACCGAAGTGAGTAAAAAAATTTTTTTTCAGTACTGGGGAGTGAACCCAAAGAGCCATTTTTAATAAAAAAAAAAAATTTAAGACAGGGTTTTGCTAAGTCATGAAAGTGCCCAGCCTGGGCTCAAACTTTCAGTTGTTCTGTCTCAGTATCACAGAATGCTGGAATTACAGGAACATACCACCAAGCCTAACTTGTGTTTTCATTTTTGTTTTGAGACAAGAGTCTTCCAGTATAGCCCAGGCTGGTCTGGAACTTGCCATCCTCCTGCCTCAGCCTCCCAAGTGCTGGGATTACAAGGTATGTGCCACCACATCCAGCTAATTTTTATTATTTTATCTTGTTTTGAGATGAGGTCTTACTGTGTTGCCCAGGATGGTCTTGAACAGGGCTGAAATGATTCTCTCACTTTAGCTTCCCCAGTAGATGGGACTAAAGGTGCCTGCCACTGTGCCTGGCTTTTATCATTTTATTATTTTGTTATTAATATATTATCTTGGCACTGGGGTTTGAACTCAGGACCTTGCTCTTGCAAGGCAGGCAGTGGAACCACTGAGCTAAATCCCTAGCCCATTATTTTGTTTTTATTGAGACAGGGACTTGCTATGTAGTCCTGGCTGGCTTTGAACTGACTACGTATCCTAGGCTGGTCTTGAACTCGTGGTGATCCTCCTGCCTCAGCCTCCCAAATGCTGGGATTACAGGCATGTGCCATCATGCCTGGCGGTTTTATCATTTTAAGTTAAAAGTATATGTGAGTAGGGTAAATATTTGAGAAGCAGCTTAATATCTGTGTTGGGAGATTTTGGAGTCCAGGAAGTTTGTTGGGAGACAGATCTGGAAGTGAATCCTGCCCCTGTGACATCATCTATGTCACTCAGTTTATTTGGAAAATTTGGATAACAGCCCATTATGAAAAATCATTGGAGCAGATATGTCTACGGAGACCATTTAACTTGGCACATCCTAGAAGCCCAATAAATAGTAGCTGTATTTCATTGTGATCATCCGCTCCTGAGTGTTTGGCCCGCATGCTCAGAGAATTAGCAGTTCCTTCCGGAGCCTCTGATCTTTTTCTTGGGATCTTTTTCTCTATGTGGAGTTCCACCCTCCACTGCATGTGTTTGATATGCCTTGAAGGTTTTCCAGAACTATGTCACCTCCCCAGCTTTCAACCCAGCCACTGCAATACACAGCTGCTGGCCTCCACCTCCACCTCCGGCCAGCCTCACCTGCTAGGGGCCAGGCTTTCTCCTCTGCCTCATCCCGTGCAAGCTCAGGCCCAAACCTTTTTTGGACACTGTCCACCTGCTCCTCTGTCACTTGCCTCCTCGTCCCCTGCCCATTGGTGACATATCAGGCCCCTTCCCCTTCAAGGCTGCTCTGCCTTTGTGACTTCTGCTGTTTGAATCTGGAAAGGAATAAAATGCTGGGACTTTCATGGCTTTTCCTATATCTTTGGGAGGGGGCGTTCCAGGGACTTGGACCCCTGGGTTTGAAACCAAGAGCTGAGAGAGGCACAGCTGGATGATGTGTCCTCCCTTTTCAGTTCTGAATATTTCTGAGTAACTGAAGAGGATCCCGCTGAGATGCAGCTTTAGGCCTGCAGTGAAGACAGTTTGAGAGCTGGGGGAACTTGGAAGGGGGTTTAAGATCATTTCTAAAGTCATTTCTAATACAGAAATTTCTCTCCCTGGCTAGAAAAAGCCAACATATCTGGGGGCTTGGGAGAGCCTCTGGCTGAGCGCTGAGTATGAAGAGAATTCATCTATCCCTTGGCAAAGCACATCACTCAGTAGCTGTTACCCCTTACTCTCCGCCTCCACCCCCAAGTCCTCTTTCTGACCGTGGAGTTCAGGCCATGGGGTCTGCGTCCGCAGACGCGTCATCCCCAGTGGACAGCCGAGGGGAAGCTCTGGGGACTGGTTGAATGACGGAGCCTCAGTTGTGAAACAACCATTTATTGGTGGTGGGGGGGGAAGCTCCAAGGAGCCTGGAGCTCATTGAAGGGCAGGAGATAGGAGGGGAAATCTGTCACGCCCCCCAACATAGGAAAGGAGATTCCATGAATCCCACCAAGACCAGCTTATACTTGGCTTTGCAAGCACAGAGGCACCTTCCTAGGTTCATCAACAGTCTGCTACCCTAGGCTGAGACAGCCGCTCAGACAGCCATTCGCTTGGAGGAGGGAAGACAAGCGGGGAGACAGTGACAGGATGGAAAGAGAGGGGCAGAGGGACCCAGAGAGACCCTGTCCCCCATGCCAAATGACAGAAGGGAAAAACAACGCTGGAGGTGGCTCTGGGGAGCGGTGGGGGGGAGCAGGGTGGGCTTGGGG